TCTTTAGAAACGGAATATATAATCTTACGGCCTATTTATCATTTATGGCAAGAGAGATGGACATGACAAAGAAGATGTGCATGATAAGTTCACTTTTTAATCAAACAGAACAAAGATGAAACAGATGAAACTTCAATGTACACAAACAAATCCCAAAGACACAAGACAAAGATCATCATATTGATAAAGACATTCTTGTGAGATAAAATGAGACATTATTGTCGACCCCCTGCATCAGATATTTTCACCATCTTCTTTGATCATCACAATGCTGCTTATGCACTGATGACAAGAATCACAAGGAGTAATATTAGGTTTTTCTCCACGGACACTTTGGGAAAGCCATACTGGAGGTAGAGTCGAAAGCATCGGCAACGATGGCCAGGATGTATTACTATGACATTGTAACATATCGATCTCAACTTATTAAGAACATGGACGAACCCCGGTTCATCTGGGATGATTTTTTAGACTAACACCAGATTGATGGGGATGGGAGGAGTTCTATTAGAATAGTCTATTTACCACATAATAGTGTCCAGAAACATCTTATTGACTCACTTAAATTTATCCCCTGTAAAACAACGTGAGGATCTACATTAGAAACATATAATTCAACAAGATAAACAAATGTCAAGAGGTTATTAATAAAGTAATTCATCCACCTTCGGGTAGAAGAACATTTTTTCGGCATCCTCATAAAACTTCATCTTTGGTTAGTTCTCAAAGTATAAAATGAATGAAATTTTGCCAAGATAATCCTGAGCGTCAAGATAATTTGATATTCTTAGTAGCCGTACAAAAAACGACATCATTAGGGGGTGGGTAATCCACGAGGTCCCAGAACACCCATGTCCTCTGAAGTCTGAAGCTTGTGAAAAATTTCAGCACAAGTACAAATATGATTTTTCCTACTAGGCTCTCTAAACATGGTTTTCCAAAGCCACTCTAGGGTTTCAGTAGAAACCTTTGGTGATGCCAACTCTTCAGGCTGTACTAAGAGAACATTGTAATCTTTATGTTGCAAAGCTTCAAGACGCTTTCCGGTTCTGAGAAGTTACTTGAGACTACCACCAGTGTGCCCACCAAAGATTTAGACAAAGGATTGGCCATTGACCTCTCTCCGATTTACCTTCTGGAACTACATATACATATCAAAGATTTGGATTAGAGACGCAAGTAAAAAAAAATGACAAGAGAATGTTAAAGAGTGTAAGGGATTCAACTTCGGGTTGGAAGGTCATTCCGGCATCTTTAAAGCACTCAATCATATCATCTGAAAACTTTTGCTTGTCTACGTAAAGCCAGAATGAGACCCAATCAACAGAAAAATCCTTATTCACAAGAGCTAATTTGACATTTTCATGAACAGTAAATGGACCGACACCCGGAGGGATTGGTAAATCCACCGGGTCCCAAAAGACAGCTGTAGCCTTAATAAGCTATGCGAGGTTTCACAAAACACACAAACAATTATGAAATGGAAAAAAAAGAAAAATTCAATATCTTACTATGACGGATCGTAATTTAGCATGATAGATCTATCATATTAAAAATAACAATAAAACAATTTCGAGCAAAAGATAGAGAAATCTTACTTAGGGCGGATTCTCCAGACTTGGTTTCGACGTCGGATTCTCCGGACATGCTTTCGAAGACGGATTCTCGGAAAATTAGGGTTAGACTATTTAGGCTTATAACTTTAATATGTCTGGAGAGTTGTATTGATTGTAAAACTGATATAGAATTGAATCGTCGGTCTATTTTGGAAGTGATTGCGATATAAAATTTGGCAAATCTTTAACATTCCGCGAACGTTAGGGCAAAAACAAGCTAAAATAGTAGTATTGGTTTTGTAAAAGATTGATGTGGTGTAATTTTTTTTTATTGCTTTTCAATAAACATGCTACGATAATACGATATATACACAAAGTAGCCTAACAACTAAAATAACTAAAATGAAGCTAAAAACATCTACATTGTGTTTCTAATCTATACATGTCTTCGATGGTCAGATGAAGCGGCACAACGGAATCAACATCACACTGATATCGTCCAAGGAGCCTCGTGAAACAGAGAGGTCAACGAGTTTCTTACATGCTAACAATGGATTCTGCTTCTGATCGTTTCCTACGCAGAACGGTCTAGCTATGTTTACTGCCTCCTGGTTACTAACCTTGTCCCATAGACCGTCTGATGCTAAGATCAAGAACTCATGTTTGGGATTAATTCGTAGAATCTTTGTCTCTGGTTCAGATATTACCCATTTCTTGAGATGAGCATCTCCGATTCCTCTAGATACAGCTAAAGATCCTTGAATTCTCCAAACACTGTGAAATGTATCAACATAACCGCCCTGCAACATTATCTAAGTCAGAACCAAGTAATAAAGATATGCTTGATTAAAACCTGAAATGGAAATGAAACCGAAATTGGACTAAACAGAGGATTTCCTTAGGCTACTACTTTTCTAAAACCTAAACCTCCGGATTGAAGACCAATGGCTTCTCCATATTCTTGAAACCAAAAAGCAATTCTATAAGTTTGAGAAAAAGATGAAATGTTTATACAAAATGTATGAATTCTTACAGAGCTTTCAATTCTGTTCCGTTCATCGTCTCTCGAAGGGCGGTGGTCAGAAGTTAAGGCCTCTGCTAATCCTCCAACGCTCAAAACAGCACGGCAGTCACCGGCATTGGACACCACAAGATTCCCGTCGTTGATCAGAGCCGTGACGCAGCACGAGCCACCCTTAACATCTTTGTCTTTGAGAAACTCAGAATCAGTGGCTAGATAACCGCGTTGTACAGCTTCTTCAATCTTTGACTCGTTCCTCTCACCATCTATCTCTCCTAGAATGTTATTACACAAGTTCTTAGCTGCAAACTCAGCCGCTCTTGATCCTCCGTGACCATCGTAGACTCCGAAAATCGCCTACAAGTTGAAAAAAGCTAACAGCATTTGAGATCCAGTAACTAGTACTACAATTTCTTCATTGCAAATTCTTAATGAAATCCCAATTACTTGACTCACACACCATAAATAAATCTTTTAGTTAATGCCACAATTCGAATCGCATTTCCTACGATTATCATCAGTAAATAAATTTGAAAGAAGAAAACTGAAGTTTACCTGTTTGGGATCTCCATGAAGATTAGTGATTGCAGAGAAACGAT